CTCTCTCTCCCTGTAGACTCTCTCTCTCTCCCTGTAGACTCTCTCTCTCTCTGTATACTCTCTCTCTCTCTCTCTACTCTCTCTCTCTCTCTCTACTCTCTCTCTCTACTCTTTCTTCTCTCTCTCCCCTCTCTCTTCCTCTCTCTCTCTGTGTCTGTGTCTCTCTCTCTCTCTCTCTCATCATTGCCAACTATTCTCATTATTGATTAGTTGTTGCAGCCCTATTTGCTATGAATTTAGTGTACAATAATGTGCCTTGCGTGTTTAGTGCAGTACATATTTGACCATGAACTCAACATGGTTGAGCTTTTAAAAGCAGGTAGATCAGAGTTCAGTAGCCCATAATGAAATCAAATTTGACCTTTTAGCAGTCAAGGTTAACGCAGCATTAAACGTGGTTGCTGTGGGTCACTATGTTTTAATTTGATTTATCATACCAGAATAGAGGCTTTAGTGCTTTCATCCGTATTGACTTTTTCTAGTGCATTGCATTAAGTGTTTGATTCAATTTTTAACTGATTTTATTAGCAAAATTCAGGTTAACATGAAAGTTCTTTTTCCACCACACTGTCATGTTTAGGTGGAAATCAGCTTTGTTGAAAACGTATTTTTCAAATGTGCGGCCAAATGCATGACTATCTATCTGGTGGGAACATGCTACAGAAGTAATTTTCTGGTAGTCAGGAGGCAGACATAGGTCCCACCTTAAGACGGCCACAAATTACATATACAAAATAAATTTAAACTCAATCATCACACTCTTAAATAACCAATAACATATTAATAGAATTTTAAAATAGTTTTAAATCTGCAATTTTTATTAAAATTATTCCTGGTGACTCGCCTTGATTGTCCCTTTTTGGGTGCTTACTATTATGAGGTGACAGTTGTCATATTGTCGGGAGAATTCTCCCACGGAATCAGAAGACTCAGTTAGCTGAACCAATCAAGGTTTATTGTAACGCATATGCGGAGGTTACAACAGACTTGACATGTGTAGGGACTGTCCCAGGCACCAGTCTGTGTAACTCTGAAGAACCCTTTCCCTCCCGCAGTCTCTTATAGCCCTCTTCTTCGCCCACTGCTTCTCCCTCTGTCTTGGGTGAAGTCCCTCTTTCGCATCTGGCCCTCACCTCTCGAATTCCTCTTTGACACGTAGGCTAGTCATTGTGGTTCCAGCCTTGAGACACTGAGTCGTCCTGGTTATCTGCTTCGGCCGTTTGTCCTTGGATGTGGGGTTGTTATGTTCTTCTTTCTTGGTTCTTCGTACGTAAGCTTATCAGGCTTCAGCAGCGGTGTCCTGTGTATAGAAACTCAAAGACAGTTTCTAGTTCCAAAACAAGTATATATGAAACCTTTCTTATTGTCATTATTCTACATGTATAACTACTGAAAACAAAACTACATATTGTTACTTATGCTATTATGAAATGAACAATCTATAACTAAAAATGAGTAAATATCTTCACACATATGCACATTTGTAAGAGGCTACAATCAACTTTGCCAGCATACATAGCTCAGGCATGGAACATGCTGTCCCTATCAGGAACCTGCTTCAGAGAAGGTTTGAGCTCAGGTTTGGACTGAACCTGAGCTCCTCTGATGGAAGTTCCTTCTGCTGCCACCCAGTTAGCTGCAGGCGGTGCATTCCCTGCCTGTTGCTGCACATAACCAAAGGGGTGGAATGCTGTGATGTCATTGCCTTTATATGGCCACATGGCTTTATTTCTTCAATGACAGTGACCTAATATGGCTATTTCAGGTCAATTAACTATTATCCTCCCCTTTATGTGCAGCTGCAGTCCAAACCTGAACTCATCCCTAGTTCAGAGCAATGATGTGTAGCAAGCACATATAGATGGTAAGTGGCTAAAAGAGGCTGGAGAGGTTTAGCAGCGCTGAGATTTGAAAACTGATTTTTTTTTAAAAAGTCAAAACTATTTTTTGCATATTTAAAGAAAATTGCCATTGTTTGATATGCACTGCTTTAGCACATTAAATTACATTTCATTTGGGTTTAGGTCTGCTATAAGGAAAGAAACTGCCCCCATTTGATGCACAAAGGAGATCATTTTTACTTCAGCTGACAGTTAAGTCACTGACATTTTTTTTTCTCTTTTCTTAGGAGTAATAAGAAGCTATTTGACGCTTTTAACATTCCTCAAGTGATTCAAGAAATGCAGAGGACAGCGAACCCAGACCACGCCTTCCTAGTTATTAACCTGAACTCCATTCTTTTCCACTTGGGGTTTTCAAAGCTGAAAATGCTTTCACCTAGTGTCGGCACTAACCATGACTAATGCTGCAGCATAACTCTTTCCTTCTTATTGTGTTTATATTGTAGCATGGATGTGCAATCTAAGTGACGTGAGTTTACAGTATGCTTGTGATTTGTTGCTTATTTATTTAAGAAAAAAAAACACTAAAAACTGTAGCATAGACGAGGGTGTATACCAATCAATCGGATCCCATGCATGTTCCATACATCTAATTTGTTGCTTTGACTAAAAGCTTCATCTTCCCATATTTGTAATTGTAGCCCTATTTGGGGATGTTTAAGGTGTTGCACAGAAGGAATTAGTTCTGTTTCCCGTGGGAATTCAGTAAACTTTTCTTTCACTTTTTAATGTTTTATAGTCCAGTAGAAAATGTAGTGGTAAGCCAATTATTTAAGTGGCTGCTTTAATGGTTATTTTGGAGGGCCTTCCATATATATATTTTTTTAAAGCTTCACTACTTAAAGAAGAAATCCAGTGACAATTTGTATTAACCCTTGCAGTGCTGCTACTCGTGCACTGCAAGAGTTAACTGCTTGGTTTTTTTCCCTGGTACTAAATTTTTTCTAGGTGCTAAAAAAAGAAAAAAGTTATACTCTCCTGAACTACCAAGACCACTCCCTGCTTCTCCGGTCACTGAAGCCTGTCTCCTCCTCTGCTGCACAGATTTAATATTCAACAGCGTCCTCACGTCTATACACTTTTGTATAGAACATGTTGAGACAAGGATACCTAGACACAAACGAGCAGTTAACCCTTGTGGCGCGGGGATAGCCCCAATGCAAGGGTTATTAAAAATTTCCCCCCGGAATTCATCTTAACTTTTTTTTTTTTTTTAGGTTAAAGATGGTAAATACGAAACTTTTATTCCAGTACCATCTTGTGATAGATTGACTTTGTAAAAAAAAAAAGCTCCAATCTTGAACATTCAATACCTATATCGATAGGATAAATATGCGTTGGCATTAGGGTACCTATGTACAGCTAGGTATGGCCAGAAGTGCCAAGTGTAACAGCTGTAATTCATCTTAACATTCTAATAGCATTGTGAAGTCTATATGATTGCAAAGGGACAGTGTACATTTCTTTTCCATTCTGTTTATATGCATAGAAAAGTATATTAAAGCAAGAACATTGTGGGTGACTTTTAAACCTGAAGTTCAGGCAGATATAAAAATCCACCAATTATTTCATATATGAGTTTATTAAAACGTAACAAAAGTTCATTTACATTCCACTAGTTTATGTAGCTGGATTTTCTTTGTATTTCCCTGTGCAGCACTAGATTGTGAGAGGATGGGGTAAGCACTAGGAGGCAATCGCATGTGCTACAATGCCCATGTATTGACGAGCAACATGCTGACAGGAGACATTCACTGCTGAGAGTAGATAGTGACTAAGATGTACTGCCTAACTGCAGCGAAGAAAAGTCAGGTCATAGGGATGGCTTTATTGTCTGCAATGCTGTGTAAATGTCAGTATTACCAAAGCAAAGCTACAAATTCAAATGGCAAATACATGGCTCCCAAATTTGTTGAGGGTGGTGGTAGGCCAGGCCAGGCCAGCCACAGCTTGAATTTTGGTCAGTGCACATGTATTGGCTGCAATTCACACTGGACATGGCCAACTTGTATCATCTTGTCTCTATTTGTGATTAGAGTCCTAAAACTGCAGGTCATATTTGGCACACCGTTTTGCATGGATGTGGAGGTATGGTATTAGTTGAACATGATGACCTCGCATTTTTACTATCCACAGTCCTTCAATATTTAAACCATCAGTTTATTAAATAAACAGTGCCAGCTCTCCTGCTCATCTGTCTTGGAAAGTATTTTCAGACCAACCCCGGATATATATGGTTTCCGAGTTTATTTGTGCATTGTGGGCATGTTTCCATCTATTAATGTTTAATAAAAAAAGGGTAGATCTCAAGAGTATATATTGTTGAACACATTCATCAGTAAACAGTCATAAATGGCTTGAGTTAAAATTGCATACGCTCCTATGGGGTATGCCCATTGGCCCAGTTCATCCAAAGGTATGAAATATGTCACTCATTTCCAGCAATCTAATTGGCATGACTGCATCTCCCCTAAAATTAGGCCATTATGTTGGTTAATAAAACTCTTTCTGAAGACGTGCAATATATTATCAGACTGTATATGTGGATTTTCTAGTGGGTCCTCAAAGTAGGTTAGGCAATCCAAAATAAGATTGCTGGAGCTCTGATGGGAGAGTGTGTGCACCTTATTGGTCAGCAGATGCTATTTAGTTGGTGTGTGTATTGAACCACTGACTTATTTGGCATATTTCCGTTCTGTAAGCCTCTCCCTTATTCATTTTTGTAATTTTGGGAAGAATGTTAGCTCTGTTGTGCCTTTTAGGTTGATGTTTTACCTAGTCTGATGTTTGCAGACTACAATCTTGGGTTAAGTTTTGCATTTTCCCACTCTATTTATTTTACAATCAGAATTTTATTTCTGACTATCTGAAATACTGTAGAAGTTTAACTTTGCTGTTAGGACCATGTTGTGATTTTTTATATTCTCTGTGACAGTTGTGTGATCTTTGCTTCAACAGTAGAAGGTGGCTGTCAATATAATGGCAGTGATTACTCTTGACTGTATTGGTGGCACAGTCATTCTTGTTTCTCTCCGGAGGTGTAAACATTGTTGAAAATGACTTTATAATATCCTTTTTTTTTTAAATCCAATTTTGACTTTCTCTTAACTAGGGATGTACCGATACCAGTTCAGATACCAGTGCCGATTTTCATGAGAACTACCAAGGTTGCAGCTGGGACCTGGCTCTGGCGCTCCACCACTGTCCTGAAATCTTTAGGCTGTATTTTAGAAAAACTGTCACATAAACAAAATGTATCAGTACTTGTATCTGTAAGTACCTGGGCAAGTACCAGTACTTGTACTTACAAAAATGGTATCGGTGCATCCCTAATATATATTTATAAAAACAAAATCATACATTAAAACAGAGATGTACAAATCCCTGGAGCTCCGTGTGCTCCTTACAAATGACAGCTGCCTCCTATTTTTTTTATTTTTCTCTAGTCTAGTCTTGGAGCTGGAAAAGTATCTGTACTTGTACCGAGCACAGTATTTGGTATCAGTGCATCCCTACTCTTAACATATTATTTAAGTTCTGCATGTGAACATCATTTAACTTTAAAAGGGTATTCATAAACTCCTCCTCTGTCACTGGCCTTTCATGTCGTTAACTTCTCCAAGCAGTCCTGTGCCATATTCATAAGTGGCACACAGCGTCTTTGAGCACAACACTACCATTCCTTTGAAGTTTTTTGACTGTTGAGGCTCAGTTAAAGGATGTAAAAATATATGATCTCCCTCTCTTTCAGTAAGTCATGGATTGTTATCCATATTTAGCATTTTGTGTGTGTGGGAGCATTATGTTTTTGTTTTTAGTAGTTGATATGAAATGTTTTAATTTGTTCCAGTGGTTCTTCTACACATTCCAGTGCTTGATTTACAGAAACAAGAAATTCTGTAGGTTTGTAATAGGTTAATGTTTGTTATCTTTTATTGTACAATATTTTCAGTAGCACTTCTTAATGCGACCTGTACAAAACCGGTGCATAAATGTTATAAATTATGTATGTTTACAATAAAAGAATTTGAAACTTCCTCTACCTTTGCTATGCTTAGTTGTGGAAAAAGATATCCACCATAATACATTTTGGTTACATTTACAATTTGAAGTGCACTTTACCTTACACAGCAAATACATTCTGTAATAAGGTGGAGATGCTCATCATGCTTGGCTCTTCCGGTAATGATGGTTTAACCCTTTCCCTGCCACCGACATATGGCATAAGGCGAAACACAACCGCTTGCATCTAGCTAGCTCAGTATGCCATATGTCGGTGGCTTCTCCCTTCTACTATGCTCATGGTCGCTTTAGTGTGACTCTGTTGTAAATAGGTTAACTTGTTTAACTCCTTTTACTGTCTGTAGATTACCATTCTCAAGCACAAGGCCCCATGGTGAGACAGCATGGATCTGCGATCCATGCATGCTTCTAGTTCTGAAATTTACGCCGTCATTTACAGCTCCCAGGTTCAAAATAGTAAACTGGAACCAATCATCTTTGTGGTATTTACTTGAGGTTTGTTTACTAACAATCCTGCTGGCTGCAACTGTCACTGTGCCTCTCTGTGCACTTGTAATTAATATGCCTGTACCGTCTAAGTGGCATAGTAAATATTGCAGCCTGGTAACTAATATTTTCAGAAGATCAGAAATAGCAAAATAAAAGCCGTACATGTGCTAAAGGAAAAAAAAGAAATATAAATAGTAACAGACTGTTACGTTAACTTATACACACTGATGCTGTTAAAGCAACTGGCGAACTACTGTTTCCATCCAGCAGCCCATCAACCATGGCAAAATCTTAGTTTACTCCTTTTCTGCTAAAGCTGAAGTTTTTAGTAATCCTTCTTTTTTTGTGGTGATACAGAACCAAACACATTAGAAATGTGTAATAGTTTGTATCCCCTTAACTTCAGCTGTTTTGTCTATAAAATCTTCACGCTCCTAGCATTGGTGTCAGTGATAATCTGAATGTACCCCGTAGCATTGGTGTTCAGTGAGACTTACCTGTGTGCAGGCTCCATGTCCTGGGCTGCACCTCACAATATAATCATGGGATGGGACTATACAGGCACACCATGGGGGAGAGGAGATCATTCTGCCCATAGCGCCTGTTACCAGATCATCAGGTGGCTCTGTGTTTCAGTATCTGGCACCCACTGTCACTCCGCACAGTGGCTTCTCCAGCATTCAACTTGCAAGCAGAGCCTTGTTATTGCAGAAGCTGGATTACTGTTACCACCCGGCCATAACAACCCCACAGGCCGTAGTTTGCTGTCTGTCTCTTTTCTGTTCCTTTTAAATTATTATAAATGTGCAGACTAACATACTATTACTGAAAGATTTATATATTTTTGTTATTTATTTTGTCTGTCTGGCTCTTTAATTTCAATTAGAAAATAAAAAGTAATCTGACATTTGCAGCCCCTGTTGAGTGTGTGACCCTAAATACTGCAGAAGCTGGGAGACATTAATCA